CTGGGAGCGGCCACTGCACTCCAGTCTGAGCTACAGAGTGAGACTCCAACTCAAAAAAAACAAAACAAAACAAAAAAACCTTTTGTTACTATTTCTGTGTTGCTTAAATCACTTAAAGTGTTTCAATGACTGCCATGGCTTATTGAAGTGACAGTCCTCAGGGAATCTAAGTGTGGCAGGTACTTTGGGGGTTCACGGGACCTCAGCTTCCTCCCAGCCCCCCAGTTGGAGTTGGGGGGAGTTCAAGGGGTCCAGGGCAGCTGTGGGTTTGTGGTCTAAGCATCTGAGCCTGTGTGTCCCCTCCAGCTGGTGACAGCCTGTGCCATGCAGGCCTTTCACAGCCTCTTCCACGCCAGGCCTGGCCCGGGCACCCTGTCAACAGAACTCAACGCACAGATCATCACGGTGAGGCCTGACGGTGGGGGGGAGGGGCTTTGTGGGGGGAGCTGTGAGGTTGGATGGGCTGGGCCACCTGGTGGAGGAGCCAGTTGGTGTGCAGACAGTTGGGAGACCAACCACCAGGGTCACATCGGTGTCCTTGGGAGCTGAGGCCCCTGACTCTTGACCTAGTTAACTTTATTTATTTGTTTAATGTCTTTATGTTTGAGCTGGGGTCTCACTTAGTTGCCCAGGCTGGAGTGCCCTGGCATGGTCCCAACGTACCACGGCCTTGGCTTCCTAGTCTCAGGTGTTCCTTCTGCCTCAGCCCCTCAAGTAGCGGGAACACAGGTGTGTGCCACCATGCCCAGCTCATTTTCTCATTTTTTTGGTAGAGATGAGGTCTCACTTTGTTGCCCAGGCTGGTCCCAAGTTTCTGGGCTCAAGCAGTCCTCTTGCCTCAGCCTCCCAAAGTGCTGGGCTTGCAGGTGTGAACCACTGTGCCCAGCCAACCTAGTTAAATTGAATAAGAGATTTCAGCATGGTCTGTGTTCACAGATACTTGAGCAGGGCTGCCAACCGTAGAGGTCTGTGGATGGATTTGGGGAGGGCGGCATAAATCCCGCCAAATTATTTGCAAAATGTACATTTTTTCTGAACGGGGCCTTGGCCTTTGTCAGACTCACAAGGGGAGTGTGACCCCCTGCCCTTACTGTCCCTGGAGGCTGGCTGCTCTCCCAAAGAACCGGAACTGGGGCAAGGCAGGGAGGAGCTGGGAATGCCAAGCAGCTGTGAGCCCTGGGGTCGTGAGCCCTGGTGTTGTCTGGGACCCGGGCCCGGGAGGGGGCATCGTCGTTGGGCTGCTGCCAGCCACACCTACTCAGGCATCTGCATCTTCCCTGTCCACCTCTAGGCCTTGTACGACTATGCTCCCAGTGAGAGTGACTTACAGCCCCTGCTGGCCTGGCTTAAGGTCATGGAGAAGGCCCACATCAACCTGGTCAGGTAGCGGCGAGTGGAGGGCTGCTCGGGCCTCTTCCAGGCTGACAGGTGGAGGGTGACTTGGGGTCCCCTTCTTGGCTGATGGGTGGAGGAGTGTCGGGGCCCCTTGCTGGCTGGTGGGTGGAGGGTGCCTCGGTGCCCCCGTCCAGGCTGATGGATGCAGGGTTGCCTGGGGGCCTCCGTCCCAGCTGATGAGGTGGAGGGGTCCCTCGGAGCAGGAGAGTGCAGCCCTTTTGGCCAGGTCTGGTTCCTTTCCGACCAGGGCGTTCCTGACAGTCGTGGAGGCGCAGCCAGGTGGGTGAGGGTCCCGCACTGCAGCTCGAGGCCCGAGTTTGCCCCTGGGTCTCACAGCCCTCTGGCTGTGTTGTCCTCACCCGAGAATATCCCTGTGCTCCATGCCGCTCCCTGCTGGGCTGATGGTCTCGTCTCTGGGCTCCTCGTCCTGTGCCCCACTTCTGCCCCGTGTCTGCATTCAGGGTCCCAATAATTCCACTTCTCTGGAATAAGCCTGAGGAGAAAGGAGCACCTAGCGTGGAGCCAAGGGTCTCTCCAAGCCCTCAGGTCCACCATGCCAGTCTGTCTAACTGAAGCTGGAGGTCCGTGCCTGCTGTGACCCTGGCGTGTGCATCCGTGTTTCATCTCACCAGTCCCAGCAGCCCCGAGAGGAGGCTTAGCCCGTTTTGTAAACTGGAAACCACGCCACCCAGGGGCAAGGCCATTGTCTGGCCAGGGTCTGCCTAGCGCCCGTTCTTTATCCTACACCAACTTGCCTTTCACCTGGGGGGTGCCCGAAGATGGCAGTCGCCTTGGTCACCTCCTCAGGAGTGAGCCTGCAGGAGTACCTACACTCAAGCCCAGCGCGTGTCCCAGGGGTGTGTGGTGGCACTGTAGGTAATGGCCAAGACCAGCCTCGCTCCGAATGCCCCATGGGAGGGGTGACATGAACAGGAAAGTACCATGCAGCTCTAGTTTCAGCTCTGATGTCCTCCTCTGGAAAGAGCCCGAGGCCCGCTGGGTCAAGCATGGCGCAGAGCAGCCGGCACGCCCAGATTTGTGTTTGTGTGCCGTGATCCCGCACACCAAGCTGTGTGGCAAATTATTCAACTTCCCTGTGTCTCGATTTCCTCATCTGTGGAGTGGGAATTGTAAAAGGACTCAGCTCATTAGTTGTTGCAAGGCTTAAATGAATCAGCGTGTGTTGTTAGGTCTGTGCTTATATATGACAAGCATCACATATGTGCTGGCAGTTGTTATTGTTCTGTGTGTGTGCATATGCATAGAATCTTCCAGAATAGTCTCTGAGAAGCTTGACCTTGATTTCCCCCGGGAAGTGTGTATGAGGGCCAGGCTGGAAGCAGGGCGCGTGAGGCAGGCACGCCTTGCAGTCGATCCCCGGAGACCTGTTGTGTTTCCTGCCACGAGTAGTTGGGGCATGAACAGCAGTGCTTTCCTGCAGTCCCTGCTGGAAGGGCCCTCCGGAGCTCTACAGAGCAGCCACCCAGGTTGTCGGAGGGCTGAACCCAGGTTGCCCAGGGCCAAGGCTCGGGACCCACAGAAAGCTTTTGTCCCGACAGGTTGCAGCGGGGCCTGGGGCTGGGCCACCTCTCCCGCTTTTTTGGAAATGCGATGACCTGCCTCCTCTCCCCACACTCGCAGGTGGTCACAGCGGCCACCCAGAGCCTCAAGGTACTACAGCTTTAGCTGACAGAACAGAGAGCCCGGGGGTCCCGTGGGTGGCCCTCTCCCTGCCCACACCTGCCCCAGACCGCCAGCTCGGTCCTGGGGAGTAGGTTCTCGCAGTGAGAGAAAGGCTTCTTAGAAGCTTCCAGAAGCAGTCGCCTGGGAGGAGCGTGTGGTCCTGGGGGCTGCCTGGGCCCAAACCGCCTGGTGTCGTTGCAGGAGCTCCTGAAGGAATGCGTGGCCCCTCACATGGCTGACATCGGCTCCGTGACCTCCTCGGCCTCAGGCCCCGCCCAGTCCATTGCCAAGATGTTCAGGTGAGAAGAGGGTGTCTGTGTGAGCAGGGATGGGGGTACCCTGTGGGACATTCTGTAGGCGCTCCACTTGCACTTGAGGTGGGCCACACACACAGTGCCTCTGTCTTAGGGACTGCGGGCAGTTCACTGCACCCCTGCCAGAGCAGCGCCTGTCGCCTAGGGAGGCATCATGCCGTGTGGCAGGTGCCGTAGAGTCGTGAGCCTGCTGGGGTTGAATCCAGCTTGACCGATTACAAGCCCCAGTCATCTGGAGCGAGTTCCTGCTGCTCTCTGTACCTCAGGGTCGTCGTCAGGGGTGACTACAGGAAGGGGATTTAAATGGAAAGTTCTCAGAACAATCATCAGGCATTTGGTATAATCCTTCTGGTCCTAGGAGATGGGTACTAGCCCCATTTTACAGATGGGAACACTGAGATCACCCAACTGGTGGCACAGAGTGACCCCAGAGTGCTCTTACTCATCTGTGAGAGGAGCCACTTATATGTGGCCACTGGTTGCCTCCGCCCTCCCAGCAGAGCAGCGAGGAACCTCAGAGCCCCACAAACCCAAGTGACCCCGGAGGACCTGGGGTCCTAGGTGTCTCCTCTGGGTCATCTGCCCAGCCCCGAGGTGTGGTGCTTCGGTGACGGTTCCTCGTGGGGAAGTAGGCCTGATTCGTTCAGGTCCACCTGCGAGGAATGGACTTTTTCCTCTCCCAGCCGCAGCCCTCCCCCATGCTGACTGTTCTTTTGCTCTTGCTGGCCGTTCTTGTGTAAAACCTCCAGGGGCCTGGACTTCCTCACCAGGTGGAGCAGCCGAGGTGTGCAAAGGCCGAAGGGAAAGTCCCTTCCCCACCCCGGCCTCCTGTTCCTACCCTTTCCTGAGAAAGCAGGGGACAGTGACAAAACACTGGCTCCAGAGGCCCAGTGGGGTCACTAGCCGAATGACTCTGGTGGGGTATTTAATCTCCCAGGCTGCTTTCTCCACTGGAAGTTGGGATAGGTAACTCCTTTCAGAGTCTTCCTTGAAGCACTAGGATTCTGCGAGCTAAGCTCAGCCAGGGAGCAGCGTGGACACTCAGGCAGGCTGTGCTCCTCCTCGTCTTTCCTGGGGCCCCCCCTTGCTGGCCTGCTGGGGCTGGGGCTCGTGGTGCCGGCCATCAGCTTCTCCTGGCTGGCTGCGGGGTAGGTGGACACGGCCCTGACAGCCTGCTCCCTCGGCAGGGCGGCGGAGGAGGGCCTGACGTACCGATTCCACGCGGCATGGGGCTGCGTGCTGCAGCTGCTGTGCGCGTTCTTTGAGGCTTGTGGGAGGCAGGCCCACCCTGTGATGAGGAAGGTGAGCTGGAGGCCACGTGGCTGTTATCTCCACACCCTGCCCCCCCACCCCAACAGCGCTGTGGTCGATGCCCGGGCCCGTGTCACCTGGCGTCTGGGCCCACGA